CGTGGGCAAGACTCCAGACAGTAAGGGAATGATGATATGTCTGATCGTCTTGAAGGGACCTCCAGGTCATACTTTCAAGAAGAGCGCAGTGAGTACCATGACCAGAAACAGGGCTGCCCTGCCTCTAGCCAGGTAGAGCAGAGGGACAATCGGGTCTATTGGACAGTGTGGATTTGGTGGCCTGGCACATAAGACCCACAGAGATATAAGGCTTTAGTTGACACCGGGGCACAATGTACTTTGATGCCATCAGGACACATACTGCCCATGCAGTAGCCCTTGGCCAGTCAGGACAGGGCATGAAGAACGTGCTCTACACTGCAGCCATCAAGGCAAGTGCTGACCATGGTAGAATTCACCACTGGATGGCTGGAGACATGTCCTGTGCCTCCCACCACTGCCCGGAATACCATCCTGGGCCTTGAAACGCACGTCCTGTGGCGACACGGCAGCCCAGAGAGAACTGAGTCTGACAATGAGACTCATTTCAGGAATGGCCTCATAGACACCTGGGCCAGAGAGCATGTCATTGAGTGGGTATATCATATCCCCTACCATGCACCAGCTGTTGGGAAAGTTGAGCAGTGCGATGGACTCCTGAAAATCACCTTGAAGGCTCTGGGTGGGAGGGCTTTCAAACACTGGGAGCTGCATTTAGCAAAGGCCACCTGGTTGGTCAACACCTGAGGCTCCATCAATCGAGCTGGCCCTGCCCAGTCAGAACTCTTGCATGCTGTAGATGAAGTCCCCGTGGTGCATATGAGAGGTATGCTACAGAAGACTGTTTGGATTAGTTCCAACTCAAGCAAAGGCAAACCCATTCGAGGGACTGTTTTTGCTCAGGGACCTGGTTGTGCTTGGTAGGTAATGCAAAAAGATGGGGACACACATTGTGTACCCCAAGGGGACCTAATTTTGAGTGAGAATGGTCTGTAATGTTTCATTGTAAATATACATGTATATAATTTTAAAGGGTGTTAACTTGGGCATGACATAGATGGTATAGAATAAGGGGTGGATAATGTCCTAGTTCGAGCAGCTGGGACCAGTTCCTCACTGTGTGAGTGTAAGCCAGACTGTGTATTCTAAACCCTCTACGTCATTTCCCAGAAACTGTTAACAACAGACCATTTGCAGCAGCTGCCCCGAGCACACCTGAGCCCTCAGGCTGTAAGCTGGGTGTTAGGAGGCCTGTGAGACAGGAGATGTTCCTGTCCTCACACCCACAACTCACAATCACCCACTGTGGAACTCCCCACCATGGGGGAAGTGCTTGGCATGCCTACCTGAACATGAGCGTATATAATCTGGGAGTCTTGGGACTTCTGGTACTGCTCGTGGGATCCAGAGGAGGACCAGAACCTTGACCAGACTGTGACCACCACTCTCAACCAGACTGCAACCATTACTCGCACCAACAGGTTCTTCCTCTCCTTTTATTTTTGAACTCAGGGGTCCCACGTGGGGCTCAACACGGGGCCCAATGAACACCATTCTGTTCACTCCCCAGGGCGACCAGTTATATATCTGGTTTTTTGTGGGTTAAAACCAATTGTCTATATGTATAACTGTAGGTGTTGTATTATTTTTATTAAATTGTAATTCTGAATTATAATTTTTTTTTTTCATGGCTGGGCTTTGAGAACAAAGATTTGAGAAGGGCTCTACCCACTCTTGCTGCAGGCGTGCCGATGGCTAAAAGGGCCAATGCGAGATAGACAAGTCCGGTTGCAAAATGCGCAGCGGAAAGACTCCCCAGGTGGTATCGACAAGACGTGATTCTTTCTGCTTTGTCTTTTCTCCTCCCTATTTGTCCTTCATCCTGGAGACGTGCCCTGCCCAGCACAGCTGTGTTCTCAGCAGCATGGACTCAATGCTTGTGACTGCTGCCTGTTCAAGGACAGACGTGTTGGTCACATAATCCGTCCAGTGGATGTTTAGGATGGTACAGAGGCAGCGCTGATGGAAGCAGTCTAAGAAATGCAAGTGGTGCCGGTAAATGACCCATGATTCAGACCCATATAAAAGAGTAGACAGTACAATGGCTCTGTAAACACTGATCTTTGTATTTTTCTTCAGGTGTTTGTTTCGCCAAACTCTTTGGTGGAGTTTACTGAAGGCTCTGTACGCCTTTGCTAACCTGCTGTCTATTTCTTCATCAATCTTCCTGTCCGAGGAGGTGATGCTTCCCAGGTAATTAAATTGCTGGACTGATTTGAGTTCTGTTTTGCCAGTGCTGATATGGGGATGATGGAAGACTTCCTGAGGTGCAGGCTGATAGAAAACGTCTGTCTTCTTCAAGCTGACTTCCATCTGAAAAGCTCAGCAGCCTCTGCAAAGCAGGATGTTAAACGCTGCAGAGCTCCTTCTGTGTGGGCGGCACTGTCAGTGAAAAGCAGCTCATGGAGAAGATGATTTCAGGTCTTGGTGTGAGCCTTCAGTCGCCTTCAGTTGAATTGACTCCCATTGGTACAATATCGAATGTAGACACTGTTTTCATCATCAAGGTCTGCTGTAGCCCTTTGGAGCATCACACTGAAAAAGATTGTGAACAGAGCTGGTGCAAGAACGCAGCCTTGTTTCACACCACTGGTTACTGGAAAGGGCTCAGAAAGTGCATCACCATATCTGACTTGGCCATGTTGGTCCTCATGAAGCAAAATGATCATTTCAAGGAACTTAGGGGGACATCCTAAATGTTCCAAAATCTGCCACAGACCTTATCTGCTCACAGTATCATAAGCCTTGGTGAGATCAACAAAGGTTGCATAGAGACCTTTGTTCTCTTCCCTACACTTCTCTTGCAGTTGTCTGAGAACAAATACCATGTCTGTGGTACCTCTGTTGGCTCTGAAACCACACTGGCTTTCAGATAGAAGTTCTTCTGCTATAGCAGGTATTAATCTGTTCAAAAGAATTCTTGCAAGGATTTTACCAGCAATGGAGAGAAGAACAATACCTCGGTAATTTGAGCAGTCTGATTTATCTCCTTTCTTCTTGTACAAGGTGATGATGACTGCATCACGAAGGTCTGATGGTAGTCTGCCTTGTTTCCAGCAGCACACCACGAACTCATGAAACTTAGCATGAAGTGCTTGGCCACCATGCTTCCAGATTTCAGGTGGGATTCCATCAACCCCAGCTGCCTTGCCAGTTTTCACCTGCTGTATGGCCTTAAGAGTTTCTCCCATAGTGGGGGCAGTGTCCAGTTCAATTTTCACCGGTTATTGTGAAATGTACTGCACTGCTGAGTCTTGAACTACACAGCTGGTACTGAAGAGAGTCTGAAAGTGTTGGGACCACCAATTGAAATTGGAAACTTTATCTGTGAGAAGGATTTGACCATCTGCACTGAGTAAAGGGCTTTGAACCTGGTGTGTAGGACGTAGGCTGTTTTCAGAGCCTCATAGAATCAACTGTTGTCACTCGTATCTGCACATAATTGATTTTTTTTCTGCTAGATTGATCCGCCACTTGTTCTGGATGTAGCTTGCTACATGCGACTTGAGATTTTTACATCTATAAATATAATATAAAATATTTATATATTTATTTATATTATTTAAATTTACATTTTTAATTTATTTCTTTCTATTATTTGTATATATTATATATTTATATATATAAAATATATATTATATATATGTTATATATATAAATCTCCTTTGACTTACGTTAATTTGTCCTGCGTGTTTGCCTTTAAACCATCACACTGTATTAATTTGGGGGCCGACGTTGCTGGCGGGACTGCTTTCTCCTTTGGGATGTCCTCGATGCTGCCTGGCGACTGTTGCGCCTCTCAGCACTTGGTGCTCTCACACGGCTCCTGTGATGATGACGTCTCGATCGGTCGGATGGATTCGGGGTCTGATATTGTTGACGGGAGAGATTTGGTGTGCGGGATGCCCTCGGTGTTTCCTGATTCCGACTGCGCCTCCCAGCACTCGGTGCTCTCACATGGCTTCTGTCACGGTGACTTCTGGACTGACCTGATGGATTTGCAGTCTGACTTTGCAGGCAGGAGCGGTTTTGCCTGCGGGAAGGACTGCGCCTCCCAGGACTTGGCACATGGGTCCTACCATGGGGACTTCTGGACCAGATCTGTGGATCTGTGGTCCAACGATCCTGGTGGGCGTGGTTTTGTCTTCGGGATGTCCTCGCTGCTGTGAGCCTTGAGTTTTGCCTCCCAGCACTGGGTGCTGGCCTGCAGTTCCTGTTAGGGGGTCTTCTGGACTGGCCACATGCAATGGGTGTCTGACATTGATGATGGGAGGGGTTTCGTCTGCGGGATGTCCCTGATTGTGTCAGCCTGGGCCTGCGCCTCCCAGGCCTTGGTGCTGGCACATGGGCCCTGTCACACAGAGTTCTGCACCGGCTGTGAGGATCTTGGGTTCGACGTTGCTGGCGCGAGCAGTTTTGTGTCACATCAGGCCCAGGACGGCTGGAGCAGCTGCTGCCCTCAGATTCTGACGAGCTGCTGTGGGATGAGTCTGATGTCACCTGGCTGTCAGTGCTCGGGCTGCTCGTCTCCAGTGAGGAAGATTCCAGAGACTGCTCTGATGTTGCCTCTTGGTTGGTACTGGGGTTACTGGTCTCTGGTGCTGGACAGCCAGGAGACATCCCCGATGGCACCTGGTTACCAGTGCTGGGGCTGACAGTCTCAGGTTCATGGGAAGGCTGCAATTCCGACTGCCTGGAAAGGTTGGGGGTATCATGCTCGGCCTCAACCTGAGAGGCTGTAAGGGGAAGCAGGAAAGTCAAGGCCAGGTTAAAGCCACCCAAAGCCCTAGGCAGGATAGGCCAGGGCAGTGCCCCCAGCCCTCCTGGAGCAGACAGGCTCTGCCAAGCCCAGCCTGGGCACCCCCTGCCAGGCCCAGGGTCACCAGAATGCTTTGCCTCTCACCTGTGCCCAAGGCAGCACAGTTCTCACATTCCCAGCTGGTTATGCTGTCCCTCAGGCCAGAGCAGTGTCTGTGGGTGCCCTCGGCTGCACAGGAGGAGCACAGGAGCAGTTCCCAGGGCCTGGGGAAGCAAATATGTTCATAGAGCTGAGGATATAGTGTCCAGAGCGTGGCATTATTTAGCTGAGCTGTACTCCTGGGTCCTTCTGGTTTGAACCTGGCAAAGCCCCAGGATGCAGCTTTGGCAACTTACCCCTCCTCCTCAGCGTTCTCTCTGCCTCCTGGAAAAAGACACTCTCTGGCATCACAGTGCCTGTGCCTTTCTACTAACTCAGCGAACGCGTCATTCTCCTCCCATGATGGTTCTCTGATGGAAAAAGGAAACCTGATGAGCTTCCTCTGCCCCAGCATCAGGCAGGTGCAGGGTGTCCCTGCTCTTCCGCCTCTGCCATTTCCGGCTCCTGCGTGAAGCTGAACCCAGAATTCACAGAACAGTGCAGTGCCAGGACTGCTGGGGCAGACCCTGCCACAGCACAGCACTTGCACCCCCTGTGTTGTGAGCCAGGCAGAAGGACACCAACCTGAAGGGGATTCGGATCCCCATGGTGAACATGTCCACGAGAAATGCCTGACTGTTCCTGCAGAGGGGGCACTGGAGGGATAAAATACCAGCATGCAGAGCCTGTCCCTGCAGGAGAAACAGGAGCAGTCAGAGTGAGGCCCTGGTGCTGCTGAGACCCTGCTGACCCCCCCGGGGGTTAAGGGAACCATTCTTACTTGAATACAATCCCTGTGGAACCAGGCGTTTTTGCACGCTGGGCACACCATGGTGTTGAAGGTCTTTCTGTCCTCCACGGGCTCCATGCAGATGAGGCAATTGGTGCCCGGCTCCGGAGTGGCCTCCACTTCCTGCTGGGGGCTGTGTGTGGGACAGAAGGACCTGGGGGGACAAGACATGAGTGGGATGAGAAGTGTTGGGCCCTTCCCTGGTGGCAGGGAGCTTGGGAGAGGAGGTACCTGTATGGTGTAATGAACTGGGTGACACAGCCTCCCTGCTTGGCACAGGGCAGGTGGAAGCTCAGGTCACAGTCTCTTTCACAGCAGGCGATGGTGGCGCCAGTCCGGCCACAGATGAAGCAGCTCTGGAGAAAGCAGAGCAGCTCCAGCAAACCTTGCCTTGCAGTAAACAGTCCGTGCTCTAGTCAGGCTCTCACCTTCTGTGCCGCCCGCTTGACGGCATGTAGGATATCCCTTGGCAGAAAGCCCTGGAGTCCTACTCGTTCATTCTCTTGCCGATCAAGGAGGCTGGCAAAAAACTGCAGGAAAGATGATGCACTGATGAGGAGAGTGTGTGGTGGGAAGTGCCCACTGGAAAGCTGGAGAGAACTTGCAGAGAAACTCACCAGGCAAAACACGTGGGCACAGATCCCATATCTGTGGAATTTTTCTCCGCAGATGTCCAGATCAGCGTCTGACTGTCCACACAGCAGGCACGCTGGAGGGGAGAGACAATGGCCCAGGGCATGGCACCTCTGCTGCCCACTCTGACAGCCCCTCTGCCAGGCTGCTGGAGGGGCACTTTGCTCTCACCTGGCTCCCTCACTTCGGGGGTCTCCTCCTCCTGGTCTGACATGGTGACTGTCAGTACGAAGTCCCTCTCCTTGGAACACCCAGGTCTCCTCCAGCTGCTCCTGCACTGGCTCTGCAAAAGAAGGGAGAAGTGGCTCCAACAGAAAGGCAAT